GAAAAAAAATTTTTGGCTCGCCCAAAACCAAGGTTCAATATAATTGACCTATCTTCTTTTATTATGGAAATTTTTTAAATCTAAAACGGATCAGCCGGCCCGGTCTACGAATCTATTCTAACTCTCAACGAATTCCTAGAATTTTGGGCGAACGAATAATCATTGAGTCCTCCTCTTTCCGGACAACACATACGAACTAAAAAAATCGTTTTTTTCTAACGTTTTAATAAATCTTTATTGTATTGTCTTTTGTCCTTTATCCAAGTTTACTAATTCAAAACAAAAAAAGAGTCAAAAAAGAGAAAGTTTTCTCTCTTTTCTTTCTCTATTCGATTCTATATAGGGAGATATCCGAAAATCAGGAATTTCCTTTATCTAAAACAAAAGAAGGGCACGCCAACCATAGATCTAAAGAAAAATAAGGGAACCACAAAGTTTTTTTGATGTGGGCCTTTCAAGATTCATCCAACAGATCCTGTTTACTATTATTATTATTCTATAATAAGGGTTGGAAGGGTACTTGAAAACCTATTTCATCTTAGGCCTTCTTTATGACCAATCATCCATGGTACCTTCAGAAGATGCTAACGCCTTATCAAGTTTAGGGTAAAAGCGGATAGTCGGCCTCTTATCTTATCTTTAAGGAACTTTTGAGAGATCAGTCAAAGTCCGAATTTCAAGTTTTTCAAATCCTCTGAGCATGGAAATCTCACCTCATAGGTGATTCTAGTATTAGAGTCGCGAGCTTGTTTACGTCGGTCCTAAAGGGAGAACCGTCGCTATATCCCCGCGTCCTTGCACGGCTCGTTCTTCGAGCCCTCCTTCTCCCTTCCCCATATCCCCGTTCCTACCGTCCAAAACAGGCCTATGAAGAAATAGCTTAAATAAATGTACATTGTTGGCCTGTCCCTTTTTACTGACACACGCAAGGACCCCGAAACTCTTTTTTTGCTATGCACCCGAGACGCTGGAAGAATCTTTTCCGTTCTTCGGTTATGTATGGAAAGATAGAAATAAAATCGAAATGAAGGCAAGAAAGAAAGGTCAATTACATCGAGCCTTCTGCTTTTAAGCCCTATTGGAAGTGATATTCACGAACGCGATCCTTTGCCTTTGGAACAGGATTCCGAATCCTGGTATAGCTAGCTACTCCCAAAGCAATCCCAGCATATTCTATATTCTGCTTTCAACTCCTTAGCTTATTTATACCCGCTTGACCGAAGGCTCTTGCCTTGCTGGCAGAACATCTGAGAAAGGAATAGAAGGACTCTCTCAAACCAGAAAGAAATGCGAGAGCAGGGGTACTCTATTGCTTAGTCTAGCTTTTATGGAAGCTTTAACGATTTATGGATTGGTTGTAGCATTAGCACTTTTATTTGCGAATCCTTTTGTTTAAGTGTTGAATCTCAGAAAACACAAATTTTTTCTAGGGAATATGTTGAACTTGAATGAAAGCCAAAAGCGAAACTGTAGAAAGGGAGCTAAGCGTCACGAGTGGTCCTCTGACAGATATACGATGTCTGGTACGTGAGCGCCTTCTTGAAGTCTTGCCTATTTTCTTGTCTAGCTGCTTCTCCGGTTAGTCCTATCAAGTTCAAGAAGTTGCTGACCCGTATGTAGTTCAGGCAAATACACGCCTGCCTCGTTCGCACATTCCTGCCTGTGTGCTTGCTTTCTTATTCTTTTGCTTTCCCCTTTACTAAATAATGGCTGGTTTTGGGGTTTTACTGAAGGGAAGGTAGACGGAAATTGATTGATTTATTTATTCCCTTTTTACCAAGCCGTATTTAGCTGAGGCGAACAGAGGCGATCAATAAATAGTGAGCTCGACCACGAGGATCTACCTATATCATAGTAGGGGCGACAAAGCGCGAATCCTAAGTGCTATCGAATTCGAAGTTCTTAGCATGTTAACGCACTTTCCTCTGGGACATCATGTGACAAGATTGGTTTTCCTTTTTTTTGTTTATGTTAAGGCTTTGTTTAATGGATGATTGTGTGGATGACATTTCTTTCAAGTCTTCTGTCTTCATTTACTTGTGCATTTCTATGAATAAGATCATTATAGAGAAACTGCCCATATTTGGTGTCAAAGCTGCAAGCTCAAAAGAATCAGACTAGGCACCTTTGGAAGAAGGCAGGGAGTGTGACAACGTACACGCTTCCTATTACTCCATAGGGAACAAACTTTTCGCAGCTCTCTAAAGCAGCCCTGACAAGTGCTCTTTCTATGAGCCAATGGTACAAGCCTAACGTGGATAAGAGAAGTAAAAGCCGAAATAAGCAATGGGTGGAAAGATCTCCCCAGAGAAAGGACTCGGAAGCTTTGTATAGAGACTCCTCATTCAGGGATTTGAATCACCGGGCAGAGGCTACCATTTCTTCTTCTTGTCTGAACAAGGCCGTCAACGACAGATCTACACATGGCGACGTATATAAGGAGATGAAGGAGCTCGTATTCCCATCCTTACTCGTCCATTCAATTCAGCCTTCGCTTAGCTATTCGAATCAATAATTCCATGGAAAAAATCTTTTTTTTTTTTGATTCAAACAAAACACCCTACCAAAAAGAAATACCAGGGGTTAGTGACTTTGTTCAACTTGAAAGGTGCCATTCAGAAAGAAAAGGTGTATCCGAATTAATAACTTGGATTTTGGCTAATTTGTAAAATACATATGCTTGGGAAAATAGGAATCCTTTTGAAGAACCTCTTTTCAGTCTTCGCTTCGTTTGTTGGGTTGCGCTCGTTGCGGGACTTAACCCAAGACCTTAGGGCACGAGCGGTTCGTTACCTATCTTTTCTTCAATGCGACCAAGAAATCCAATGTTGCTCACGTACGCCACTCGCCCCAATCTTACGGTTAACCGGGGTAAAAAAATCTTAAAAACCGTAACCGAACCGAACCGAGCAAATACTTCATTTGAGGTATTTGTAACCGAACTGAGTCCCCCGGTTAACCGAAAATTCGGTTCGATTTCGATTCGGATCTACGATTCAGCGGTTCGGTTCGAATTTTTTGCCCAGCCCTACCCAAAGCTACATATACTGTAGCTATTATTAGAACCAAGTAGAGATGATCATGGGTCAGGCCGACCCGTCGGTTCAACCCAAACCAACAAAAATCGTCCCGTTGACCATGGGTCTTAAATCGGCCCGTGGTTTTGACCAGCCCGATTCATGTTCAATACTTTATAGTTTATACCTGTCGGACCGCCGATTTCAGTTTCGAACTGGAATCTGAACTAGAACCGAAGGTTCGACCTTTAAAAAGAAATATTATTATTTTATAATTTCTTATTTGTTTAATGAACTGGGACGCCAACCGGCCCGTGCATATGTTCGGGCCAGTTTAGGGCCCTCCACTCTCGGCCGGAGATCGGCGGTTTCAACCCGAAATCAATATTGGCAATGACTACAATCGGATTATTTGTTAACATATTTTGGCTCGAATTGTGAATACTCAATCTCGACTCATTTAAATATTTAAACACATCAAACTCAAATATCTAATCGAACTTGTCGATCAAACAAATAGAGTCGAACATGTTTGCAATCAACTCTGTAAGAGTTTTTTTTTTTTTTTTTTCCAAGAAATGAGGCCAAATTAATTATTGGAGGCAAATTCATCAAAAACAAACAAAAATGGTAAGACTATGCGAGACAAGCCCAATTAAATAGTCCGCATGAGAAGTGTGTGTCAAACTTAATTATCCAGCTCATTCGGATTCGGTACTTGTCAAGGAAACCCATTAAGAAAATTAAAAGTCAAGAAAGTGTTGTGCCACATTATAAACTCAAATGATAAAAATCTTGTAAGTGCACAATTGTCATTTGACAATAAATGATTGTCTTATTTTCTCTCACTACGATCATTATTTATGCACCATTATTGTCACATGAACAAATTTGACATGAATCTTCAGATATCCAGCTCGAAATTAGATGAGGCTAAATAAAAAATTATATGAGGCTATGTAAAATTTTTAAAAATTAAAGTTCGTATTTTTTTTAAGTGGACATGAGGCTGGAGCCCGCCATAGCTCATGGGTGGCTCTGCCCTTGTCGACGTGCGGAAAGAAAAAAATATTGCTACAAACAAATGATTTTAGCTAAAAGCGTGTGTTGCTTATGGAAAAGAATCAAAGCTTCAAAACATCTCAAGTGAATACAAGCTGATGATCAATTCACAGCAAGTGTAAAAAATGTACATTGTTAATAGAATGTGTACTAAAATATTATTCACTTCATAGTACTGCAGTTTTATTTTATCACACTCTTCACTTCTGCACAAGTTTTTCTTATTGAACCTGTTTCATAAATGTCATAAATACCAGAAAAATTAACCAATTGAACTAAATGAGGGTATAAATAAGGCAAATTAAATTTAATATATTCACCTACTGATAGGGCAAGAGATCATTATATGATATACAATAATTATGGTGTTGAAAGATCATAACATTATTACTTAGCTTATAAAGATACCATCAATCTATTTATATGCAATCCTTGTAACCTTTTGAAATGCTATAGTTGGTGATACTAACATTGCTCCTCGCGAAAACCGGAATCTTCGCGCTCACGGTTATGCAAGAAAATATAAAACTAAATATAAAAGTCTCTATGACTCGGAAAAAAAATTAAAGTAATCGAAAAATACAAAACAAAATATTTAAAAGAAAGAAAGAAAATATCACTAAAGACTTCTAGTTGATGTAGTTTGGCTTTTCATGCATCATGCTTTCCACTCTACTAGCTGTCTTTTGGTTGTCACTTGAATTCGAATTTAAGCCGATTTCTGTCGTTATCGACCTAACTCCTACTCTCGATCGGTGCCCTTTTCCGTAGCCTTTATTCGTATACCGTATAGTACACAATAAATACGATGAAAGGAGTCCGAATGTCTATATAAAAGGGTGATGAAGAGAAACAACTACTTCACTCATACACAAGAAAGCTAAAGAGAGAAAGAAAAGAGATTTTCATTATCAAGCAGAGATGGCGATTGATTTGAAGCAAGTTATGGCGGCATTTTTAACTTTCTCGATGTTTGTTATGCTTGGGAATATGATAAAAAAGGACCATATAGATCCTCTCTGGGTAAACATTTACTTCTTATTATACGAAAATCTTTATACTTTTGGGTTTATCTAACTTCTTTTTACCTTAATTGTTGTCAAACCTTAGCTAAGAAATGTGTAAAAAGGTGTGTACTCATCTCAAAATTGAATGAATAAAGAAGAACAGTAAATGGTAGAGCATAGTTATATGATAACTAAATTAGCAGTCCTCGAGTCGATTTATTTTCTACACCATTTTTTCACACAACCTCCAGACTGGGAGCAGAGGAAGAACAGAGGTATAGTATATAAATCTCTTCTATTTTCTTCGATTTATTTGTAGTTTCTTTAATTCACGCTTTCGTATATCTTGAATGGCATTCAGATCAGACTCAACATTAGCTTACAAAATGTGTAATTTTTTTTTTTACGAAATTTTTGTATAATAACTATCATCATGTACTTGTTCTCTTAGCTGTGAGAACAATAAAAGTGCATGCAACACATTATTATTCTATTCCTATTAATTAAATATAATTGCTCATTTATGAAAAATCTATTATAGGAATCACTTCCGCAAGCTCCGATCATTAAGCCTGGCAATTTTCAGAAAATTTCGAAACCGAGCGTGTTCCAATTGTCGGAAGCCAAGTACGGTCCTTGGCAGGAACAAGACGAACCTGTTCAAACCTGTTGGAAGAAGCCTACTCTCAGTAAATATTATATCTCTACTTAGAAATAAATAAGCATGCATTAAAATAAAAAAAGAAAAACATTAATGTCTTACAAATTTTGCTCTACTATCATTTCTTTCCTTTTTTTTTTGCTTTTTAATATCCTTTGATGCAGAGGGAAAACATCAGTCGGATGGCTACGTCTTCTTCTCGTTGACCGATGGCCCAGAATACCATGCGGCGCAGGTATTTTTTAATTTAATTTTAATTATATTAAGCAGATCAATTACAAAAAATGAAAAAAAAAAAAAATTAAACAAGTTTCTTTATAAAGTAGAATTAAGATGTCCTGTAATGTATTCCATCCTAGGTGGCAAATGCCGTTTTGGTCGCAAGGAAGCTCGGGGCAACTCTCGCTCTTCCCGACATCATTGTGAAGAAGTCAGGGAAAAAGAGGTATGCATAATTGTCATCTCCATAATTTTCTTTCGCTAGAGTATGACGATTATATCGATCAAGAATAATAACAATGTTGCTTTTTAGGAGTTTTTCTGAGGTGTACAACTTGGACAAATTTCTTGTGAGCCTCAGTGGTGTGGTTCGGGTCGAGAAAAACCCGCCCGCCAAGCTTTTGAAAGGGCGGCTACCTATCGTCCAGGTTCCGAACCAAGTCTCGGATGAATTTATATCCTCAAAAATCAAACCTGTTTACTTAAGCAAGAGGAACTTGAAGATTGTCACATTGTTCAACTCCTCTGCGAAGATATCCAAAGCGTCTGGTAATCAGCAGTCGAACGCTTACCAGTGTTTGGCGATGTTCGAGAGCCTGAGGCTGCAGCCATGGCTGCAGGAGCTTGCTGATTCCATGCTCGGGACATTGAGGAGCCTCAGCACAAAAATTGGCGGCCGGTTTTTGGCTGTGGATTTTCAAGTTGCTTGCAACCAGAAAAATTGCCTTACCACACGAGAAATCGGTATGTTTCTTGCGAAAATCGGGTTTCATCCCAACACGACCGTATACCTGACCCAGCCCGGGTGGCACAACAATCTGAATGCTCTACAGAGCATTTTTCCCAACACTTTTGTGAAGGTATAAAACACATTGTGAGAATGTTGTGATTTTTATTTTACTTTGCATTTTATGAATTAGGGAAAAATTACAGATTTGGTCATGTGACTGTCCGGTGATCGCGTTGACATTACAAAATAATGGAAAGAAAACCTGACTTTTGGTACTAGTTTTCAATTTGGTGTCAGTTACAGCACTAAATCTCTAATTTTTTTCTTATGAATTTGATTACTGATTGGGAACTATGTTATGACATGATACTACAAGGATGCAATAATGCCGGCTGATGAGAAGGCGACGTTTTTGGACATGAGGAGTCGAGGCCTTGAAAGATACATTGACTTGTACATTTGTGCGCAAGGAGATGTTTTTGTCCCAAGTTTGCCGATCGGAAGATTCTATGAAAGTGTTGTGGGGCAAAGAGTTGGGCTCGGGAAGACCAAAATCTTTGTCCCGTCAAACAACGCTTCTATATCGGCTGCCGACAGTATTTCGCCGTATGTTGCTAAGAAGAGCCACTTAGCGTATTCGTGCTTGTGTTAAGAGGTCGAGAACCTAATGGAAACTATATATAGTATTGTGTACTTTAGTTTTTGTATTGGTGGGTTTTGAGAATCGTGCTAAGTATGAATATTTTAGGTTGTTAAGCTATTGATATGATCGTGGAGAAGCTAGTTTCTGGGTTTTTACTTTCCGTTCCAAATGTGTGATTTGATTTCATAGCATGCCATGATGTGTGTCCTATATATATTAATTATCTAATATGCTAGTGCCAACAAGCAAATATAGTTTTTATGTCCATATCTCCAAGACATAGTTAAAAAAAAAAAAATCGAAAGACCTTCCATCCCCTAGCTTTTTCTCTCTCTCTCGTCTGCGTCATCTCACCCTGATTAAAAAAGCCCTAGCCGTGTTAATTCCCCTCAACTGCGCCTCATTATCATCGTCGGGCGCTCCTCTGCTCCGCAAGGATGACAGGCTTATGTGCCTTCACCTTGCTGCTGGCGGTTTTTGGTCCCAATTCTTAGCGTGGATCTCCCTGGTCGACAGGGGGCTCGTGCTGGTTTGGCCGACGAGAGGTTGGTGGCGATGCTCCGCAGGCTCCGTTTGCCACTTTCGATGGTTGGTGCAAGGTTTGGCGGTGTTACCTCCCCCTAGATTCCATTAGTTTCTCTCCCAGATGGATTTAATTTGATAGTTTTATAATATTTATGTCCTGAATTGATAAAAAAAATCTTTTAGGCCCCAATTTGATACTTTACGTATCTTTCAAACCTTGTATTGGAAACTCCTACAAAATTAAAATAATTTGTAACTTCATTGTAACATTATGTATAATGAATATACAACATAATATATAGTTAACAAAGTGGTAACTATTGCACCAAAAAAAAAAAAAACAAAGTGGTAACTAATTCAAAATGGTGATCGTATTTTTACACTAAACTTGTCTAAAATAATATATTGTAGTTATATTTTTCAAAATTGTATATGTCTAGAATAAGTATTATTTACAACTCCATATTATAATTTTTTGAAACAAAAGAAGTTTTCTCTTATTGTGATTGTATTTTATATTTATAGAGTCGGTGTTTCCCGTTTATTAAATTTTCAAGTATTTTAATGTTATATAATTTAATAATTCAAAATATTAATTTACGAATAAATATATTGTTATAAGTTTATGAAACGAAGAATTATTATATTATATTTAATTATGATATTCCTTTATATTTATTATTTTAAAAAACATAATAACATTCAGCTCCTTCTATACATTCAGCTCCTTCTATAATCTATTAGTTTGGGCTTCCTTTATATTTATTATGCTAAATAGCTTAACAACCTGCGGGTCCCAACATAAAACTAATGGGCTAAATACAACTTACTTACCATCACTCCTTACACTTAACAATTGATCCAAATAACATAAACATTTAATATATATATATAACTAAGAAGCCCAAACTTGACAGCCCATTAACTACCCATCTCTACTTGGTCCGCGTTCCCACAAATCGGCTTTGCTTTGCTTCATCCTCTCCATTTCCTCCTTGAGCAACCCTATAAAAGTCCCATCTTTGTCCATCTCATTCTCCGGCGAACCTCCGTCGATATTTTTTGGTTCTCCGTTCATTCTCTCCACAAGATCCTTGGAGAGTAGGTTCGTGACAATACCCCCGGAAATTCAGATCCTTGACCGCAAGGATCGGAGAAGCTGAAATCGGCGCCGGATGTAAGATTCATTTTCCCAAGTCATCTGATGCGGTTGCTTGTGTATCCACAAGACTTGAAGCTGCAGTAACCAACTTTCCTTTCTGATTCATACTCCTTTTTTCCCACAACATTTAAAGGTGCGACCTTTATTTCACCCTCTTCATCTGTCGCAGGGAGCTCCGGAGAAGCGGTTTGATGGGGTTTGATGCGTCGTTTCAGGAGAGATACGTGGAAAACATGGTGGATGCGTGATTCCTCCGGTAAATCCAGTCGGTAAGCAACCTCTCCTATCTTCTCTAGTATAGTGTAGGGCCCAAAAAACTTGGCGGAGAGTTTGATGCTCTTTCTTAACGAAACAGAATTTTGCCTGAAAGGTTCAAGTTTTAAGAAAACCTGTTCTCCCACTTCAAAGTGTTTATCTTCCTTTTCTTGTCTGCAAAGAATTTCATTCTGGATTGCTTGCTTGAGATTGTCTCTAAGCTGCTGAATCATTAATTGCCTTTGTTGAATGAATTCTTTCACCTCTGTGTGGGTTGAGTCTAAGTAAGGACCCACTGCAAAATTTGGGGGTGGATAACCGTACAGAGCCTGGAAAGGGGTGAGCTTGAGGCTGGAGTGATAATTGGTATTATACCAAAACTCAGCCAGTGAGAGCCACTTCATCCACTGACTTGGGTTTTTGTGAACCATTCCCCATAGGTAGTTCTCAAGGCATTGATTGAGCCTTTCTGTCTGTCCATCGGTTTTGTGGATGGTAGGCAGAAGATAGGTTTAATTTGACACCCATTAGCTTGAATAGTTCTGCCCAAAAACTGCTGGTAAATATCTTGTCCCTGTCTGTCACAATACTCACAGGCAACCCATGTAACTTGTAGACTGTGTCTAGGAACAATTTGGCTATAGTTGGGGCAGTGAAAGGATGAGCCAAGGGTATAAAATGGGCATACTTGGTGAATTTATCAATGATCACCAAGATGATTAAAAAAGCCCTAGCCGTGTTAATTCCCCTCAACTGCGCCTCCTTATCATCGTCGGACGCTCCTCTGCTCCGCGAGGATGACCGGCTTATGTGCCTTCACCTTGCTGCTGGCGGTTTCTGGTCCCAACTCTTGGCGTGGATCTCCCTGGTCGACAGGGGGCTCGTGCTGGTTTGGCCGGCGAGAGGTTGGTGGCGATGCGTCCGCAGGCTCCGTTTGCCACCCTTTCGATGGTTGGTGCTAGGTTTGGCGGTGTTACCTCCCCTAGATTCCATTAGTTTCTCTGGGTGAGATGGACTTAATTTGATATTTTATAACATTTATATTCTGAATTATGAAAAAAAAAATCTCATAGGCCCCAATTTGATACTTTACCTATCTTTCAGATCTTGGGTATGTTTGGTAAGCCAAATAAGCTAGCTTTTAGCTTATTTGGTTAGCTTATAAGTTCCCTGTTTAAAATAAGCCTCGTTTGGTAGGACGAGCTTTTTTAAAAAGCTCGAGCTTATTTCATAAGCTACTTTAGGTAGCTTTTCAAATAAGCTAGTTGAATTTTTTTATTTCAGCTAGCTTATCAGCTAATTTACCAAACACCTTTTATCATATAAGCTAGTTTTTCAGCTATAAGTCATAAGCTATAAGCTATAAGCTCAAAAATTACATATAAGCTATAAGCTAGCTTATCAGCTATCAGCTAGCTTATCAGCTAATTTTATTTTACCAAACATAGCCCTTGTATCGGAGAAACTCCTACAAAATTAAAATAATTTATATTTTCATTGTAAGATTATGCATAATGAATATACAACATAATATATAGTTAACAAAGTGGTAATTAATTCAAAATGGTGTTCGTATTTTTACACTAAACTTGTCTAAAATAATATTTTTAGTTATATATTTAAAATTGTATATGTCTAAAATAAGTATTATTACAACTCCATATATTTGGAAATTTTTTGAAACGAAAGAAGTTTTCTCTTATTGTGATTGTATTTTATATTTATAGAGTCAGTGTTTCCCGTTTATTAAATTTTCAAGTATTTTAATGTTATATAATTTAATAATTCAAAATATTAATTTACGAAGAAATATATTGTTGTAAGTTTATGAAACGAAGAATTATTATATTATATTTAATTATGATATTCATTTATATTTTAAAAAACATAATAACATTCAGTTCCTTCTATAATCTATTCAAATCAAGAAATAATCTTTTATAATATTTCTTATAATTTATTTTATGTAATACTAAATTTTCATTTTTCATCCAGAATTTATATAAAAAAAAACATTAAATTTGATTATTTTATGGTGAATTGAATAATTAGATTTTTAATGTTTTCATAAATTACTTATATTGCTATTGGATATTTTTTAAACTATTTTTATAATAAAATAATTTTTGTTTATAAAAATTGATGAAATTATTTTTTATATGTGCAATATGGTTGTCAAATTGAAGATCGTTACAATATGATTTTTTTTTTATATATATATATCATAAATAAGAAAACAGGTACAAATAAAAAAGTTATAAAGTTTTAAAAATAAAAAAGAATACTAACTTGTGATAATAAATATATGAATTAAATAAGAAAATGTAAAAGTATAATATTGTAACTTAAGGAAAAAAAGAAAGCTAAAGTAGTTTATGGTAATTCTCTTAGGCTCAATACGAAGAAAGCCTAATAGTCAAAACTAAACATGTACATTTGTCAATACGAAGCACAAATTTATGCCAAATATGATTACGATTAACAAAACATACGAGTGCGTCACTTAGGCTCAGCGCTTTCAGAAATTATATATAAAGACGATTTCGATTTTTTATAACTTGGTTCGATTTCGGGTCATACTCACCCCTGACCTGCCAGCCCCAAATAAATGCAAGCAAACCTCACGTCATATTCTCATACGCAAAGGGCAAGTTCAGCTGCATAAATCCCAGCGGGCAGCAACATATTCCTACATAAAGTCGCAGGCTTTGCTTTTGGCGGCTATAGGTTCTAAGTTGTTTGAGCGTCTATGCTTCTACCCCTTAATCTACACTTGAAGACAATGTGTTTGATTAAATGTCTAAATGAGTTTCCAAACATGATTTTTGTGTTGTTTTTGGTTTCACTGACATTAAATCATCTCCAGGTCGAAGATAAGCGGGGAATAATTCATGGTGATCGGCTCTTGCTTCTTAGGATTAAAGATCCAGGCTTGCGGGAACCTTGGGACCGGTCTAAATCGCTCAAGTATATCTCCCATGTCATCTGCAAGTGAGCAATACAAATTATTCATGTGAACTTTCCTGGAGCATTGTTCTCTTCCTGCTTTTATTTATACACTCTGCGTGCAAGAAGAGATTCTTATGTTGAAAAATTCTTTTAGATGTGTTAGTGAAGCCATTGGTGATTCAGGCTAGAGCCAATCAGAGGACCGAGAGTCCTAAGATTCGCAACCGAAGATTAAGAGAAAAGGTGAACAAAAAGGAAGTGTCTTTATGAGTAGATGTTATTCAGCTACATTTCATTATTTATTTGTTATAAATTTAATTGGGCAGTAAAGGGTCTGAGTTGTACTTGTGTATGTGATTTGAGATATTGATATCGTTATAATTTATTATGACCAGTTTAACGGGACAACCACAAGGCCGAGGCCTTCCGTGTTTTGCTCAAAAAAGCAATTGTATGCTATGTTAGTAGATGACCAAAAGAAAAAGTGCTTGTTCTATGGAAGCACTCTTTAGAAATCCATGCAAAATGATCAACTTTGCTCTACTGCTGTGAGTTTTCCTTTCAGTTTTTAGTATTTTATGTACGATTATAATCCAAACCAAGAGTCTTACATGTTTAGTGCCTCATGTTTTGCAAAAATGGAAAGAGAACGATTACGAAAACTACCGTCAGATTTAGGATATTACAAAAGCAGTAGTATATCTTTTAAAACAAATGTTTCCCCTCCTAAGCAACAGAATTGCACACTAAAAGAAAGTTCCATTTCTTTTTTCTTTTTTTTCTTTTTTTTTTTTTTGGTTCTTTTAAATTGTAGGAGGCGGCAAAACGAGTTGGGGAAGAGCTTATCAAGATGTGTGTGGATCTCAACATAAACGAGATCTCATCTTATGATCGAAATGGCTTGGCTTGCGGTGAACGAATGCAAGCCTTTGAAATTGCTATTTACAGCCATGGTTTCTTGCATCGGTAGAATCTACTCTACTGTTTGTAAATGTGACCATTTTGATACTATATTTTAGACTCTGCAACGAATGTGTATTATTAAAAATGACAGTGTAATACATTATCATGGATCTCCAACACCCTGTTCTTTTACTAATGCGTATTGCACTCAACTTGAATTTGTTGTTTCATGTGAATGAAGTGTGTTCTTTTTAGATTGTGTGGCGGGTTGACTTGTAAGCACTCTCTACTTATACTTTGAAAAGTACTGAATTTTCGTAAGTAATGTCGAACTTTTTCAAACACATTTTAAAAATGTTAGCTTTTTTTAGGGTACTTATATAAAACTCTTTCTTATCTTTGCTGAAAACTTCATTTCTCTTTGCTTTATTGAACTGCTTCTCTCTTTTGAAACATAAGTCGCTAACTTAAGTATTTATGGGAACGCTATTCTCATCTGCTAACTTTAATGCTTTCTGAATTGTTAAAAAATTAACTCATTCATGCATAACTTAAACGTTTCGAAAACAATTGAAAAGGGGTCTCAAATCGAGTTTCTGAAACAAGTTCTAAAGACAACTGAAAAGCATGAATCTTAAGAGTCTTTGCGGAAGCACAAATAATTAATAAACATAAATTGACCACCGTCGTCCCCTCGTGTCCGCCAATAGCTGCTCAACTTGATAATGATAATTGTGGGTGATGAGCAAAACAACTAGCTCACCGTGGGAACCATGCTATACGATTATTCAGTATAAAAACAAATATCATATTTTAAGCATGAAACATGTAAAACTGATCTCATCTGGTTGTCCTTCACAAGCATCACCCTTCGCAGGCGTAATACATCTGATTGCCCTTCACAGGCATCAGCCTTCATAGGCGAAATGTAACTGATTTGCCCTTCATAGGCCGAGCACTCACATCACCCATAACAGGCAACATGTAAATGTTTTCCCCTACGCAGGCTGAGCACTCACATCACCCATTGCAGGCGACATGTAAACATCACATACATAAAACATAATATCTCGCTTTATAAATACAAGGCATATTATAGAAACACCCCACCTCGAATGCAAGTGATGATGAATGAATGCTCGTGATTCTTCTGAGGGCTCGACTCCTCTTAATCTACAAATTAAGCATTATTTTATATTATTACTTAGAAAATTATGAAGATATAAATTTTGAATTAGTTTATTATTTAAAAAACTTAATCATATTTAATAAACTCTTCTATGCTCGTATGGAGTTCTTGGATAAAGATCTAAGGCTAAAAAAATTTAACTTTTAACTGGTCCGAACCAGCCGCTCACGCACTGTCAGACCCGGTTCGGCTTGCTGGACCGCACGGGTTGACTTGGTAATATGACTGCTCGGCATTGGCCTGGCCTGCTCGGGCATTGGACTGGTCTGTTGAAACCTAGGTCTGGCCTGCTAGGGCTCGGAACTGGGTTGTTGAGGTGTTGTTGGTCACTGGCACAAGTGCTGCAGGGACTGACACGCGGGTGTTGTGACACGGGGCGCACAGGCGCTGCAGGACGGCACGCGGGCGCTAGGACATGGCATGGGTCGTCTGCGAGCGCTGGGCCACGTGTACTAAATGGGCTAAATCACTCTCTAATGGTAAGAGCATCTCAATTGAACATTGTCAATTTTGTGTTGAATGACATGGAGAAAGAAAATTAAAAAATTATGTCCCCAATGGTTAGTGGGAATTGTAGGGTCATTTGTGATGTGTAAAATTATAATTGGGTAGAGAAGAGAAATAAATTGAATGGAAGTATTCTAGAATGGCTTCTACATCTAGAAGACCTACTAGACATTTTTTCATGCCACATAAGATTGTTTGTGCCATATGACAATAAAATAGAACAATAGAATGACGAAGATGTTTTTAAATGTCTAAACACAGTAAATGTAAAGACACGTACTTTTTTTTCTTAATTAAAGGGAAAAAATGATTCAGCATGTCTAACAAGACTTCTACCTGTAGAAGAACTTTTGCATTTTATTCTTTCTCTTTCACCACGATTTTATTCTTTTCTCTTTCATGCCACGTCATTATGTATGGTGTCTAGACATTCACGGTTGGAACAATTTTTATTGAACTTTTTCTATATGTCTACAATTAACAATCCATTGAAGATGCTACGAGGATCTGCCGTTAAATTAAAACGGTTATTGTTTCACATATTTTAGAAATCAAATTTGTATTTTTCAAATTGTTTGTTGTAGTTGATATTTTTTTTTAACAAAAATCCGTCTGATTCTAGGGCAAGTTACATAATTTAGCCCAAATGGATGCACAAGTAAGGTCAAATTGAGGAGCATATATGCGTGGGCTTAGACTTTATATTTCAAATGGACCTGGGCCATGGATAGGGAAATGAAATAGAGGAAATTGCACCCCTTACTTAAGCATCTTAAATATATTATAATTATACAACCCCTGTATATGGAATTACCAAAACAAATCTAAAATATTGCGTATCTACCTAAGAGTAACCGTTTAAATGATATCAGATTATTAAGGGAAATTAACACAATTTATGGTAAAATTAATTTTACAATATCTCTGCAAAAAAAAAAAAAAAAAA